CTCCGCTTCAACTTTTCTCTTTTTATTTTATTCTCTTTTTTATTTGCTTAAAACAGTGGTATCCTCTCTGAGGTGATTTTGAAAAAGAATTTCGTTTTTTTTGATTTGTATTCACTGTTTGCTTTCTTTTTCAAATCTTCTCCAAAAAAGTTGCAAAAATTTTTCAGATTCAGAAAGTAAGGTTGTTAAACTAGATTTCTTCAGCTAAATAGGTCGGTGTGAGACCAATAACGACAGTTTGTATAAAGTTTCTTATAACCGTTGATGAAAAACATTTAATTGGTTGCCATTGCGATTGCTGACAAAAAATACTTGATAATTTAAGATTATGTCTCATGACACAAGTTTATGTCATAAATACAGTTGATAGCAACCAAAAAGAGACAAATTTCAGTTCAATTAAAAATTTCAGTAATTAAAATAAAAAATTAAAAGAAGAACAAAAAAGAGAAAAATAAATTTTGATTCTCAAAACTTGTAGTACTTTCCAAATTCTTGTTATTATGTACTGAAGTTGTAAAACAGACTAAGTCTCAAAAATGCTACTTAGATATCTACAGAAAGTACTGTACGTTCAGTTTTCACTTCTTTTTCTTTATTTTTCTTATTCACTTTTTCTCGTTCGATAAAGATCTCAATTGAATCTAAAGTTTCTTTAATTTTTTCGGTTGGCGACAATCAGACAGAAGATACTCGCTTAGATGGTAGCTCTGTAAACCAGTATAAGTATATAGTTAGAAACTGTATTTTCTGTTTTGATAAAACATGTATACAGAATACCGGTGTTCTGGGAGACTGTGACATGTTGACTGGATCTTCTCTCTAAATAAAATTTAAGTTTGTAACGAACACATTATCAACAAGATAGAAAAACAAGATGAGAAATAAAAGGAAATACATAATTGACAAAAACAGTGACAAGTAAACTCCTGTAAAGTGGAATAAGAGATAAACTGTTTAATAGGTTTACATTATCTGATAAATTGAATTTTTTGCAGCATAATCTCTTGAAAGTACAAATTTACCGCTTACAAAAAATAAAAGTATAGTAGACTGATTAAAAAAAATTTTTTATAATATTTAGAAACAGCGTAGGTTAACAAGATTTCAATATAAAAAAATAAACGCTTCAAATTTAGGAAGTTGTACTGCCGGAAATTGCAAATCAACAAATACAGATGAAGAAATTTTTAAGAGTAACAATATTTTTTGCTTAACTTTGTCTGTTTTCTTCTAATTTTTACAATCTTTGATAAATTAAGTGTACCTTGAAAGATATTTTATAAACAAAAGCGAATAAAAGTTATGTCAAAAAAAATTTTTTTTTTTTTTTGTCTTAACAATAACTTTTAAGTTTTTGGGTATTATAAAGTTTAGACAGTTGTAGTGAACGTACAAGGTCACCACGGCTATCAATTTTTATGTAGCCAGAGTTAAGTTGTTCACGTTGAGATCCTTTTATCCTTTCAAACGGAGTAATCCCGATACAGAATGGATATATCATTCTCCTCTTTCCCATAAAAACCTTAGGCCTTGTGATTTGTTGAGTTAACCTCTAAAGCTGCTATTTAACAAGAGCACTGTTGAGAAAACAAATATATTGAAGTGAAAAAAAAGATTTGTCGTATTAAAACTTCAACAATTAAGATGCCAACGAAGCTTGAGAGAAATAAGCAATTATTGTGAAAAAAAAAACAAAATCAAAGTAGAGTAACTTTAAAGATAGTCGTTGATGCTAACCTTAACAAATTTTGTTCCAATTCCAGACGTAAGTAACCAACCATTTCGGAAATGAATGATCTAAAGACGTTTCACACTGTGCGTTTCAAGTTTATTCAACAGTTGTATTCAAAAACACACAGCACCTTTATGGCATAAGTCTATCATTTATAGAAAATACTCATCAGAACTGGCAATGCTGTTTTACTGAGCTTTTTTGACAATGCTTGTAACCCAGCCGGTTTTACTGTTCTGATTTATTTAAAAACGATGCACAAAGAGGGAATAAACCACAGATTTGTTGCAGATTTGTTGTATTACACTGACATTTTTCAACCATTGCAAAAAGTCCATCAAAAACTTCAGTTTATGAAGCACTTAGATGTTACTGAACAGCTGAGGTAAAAGTAGACAAAATAAACTTTAACAAATTTCAAATTGTTTTTATACATTTTAGCCTTATCCATAGAGTAAAGATTTTTTTCATTTTAATTGCTGTTTTATTGAAAACACCGACATTATGTTATAATAATTAGAAGAAAAAGTCTCAAAAAATAGATAAGTTGGTATTTAAAAAACGAAAAAAAGAAAAGCGAAACTGTTGAAAATTAGAATATTGTAGAGAAACTCAAAAGAAACTATTTTTGACTAATAGTTAACGCAAAAAATTGTATATTCCTTGGCTTGAAAAAGATTTTTAAGTTGCTTATAAAGTTTATGCTATGCTTGTTTTTTACCATTATAAAAACAGTAGATTACTTTGATCTGTAAAAAAAAAAATTTGCTAATTTACTGACCTCAGCAATGCTTTTTTGTATGTCGTCATTTTGCAACTGCGGATATGGATTAATTAAAAAAACCACAAAAAGTTTTTCCAGCAAGTTCTTCTGAATCTTCAGCAAGTCAAAAATATTTTCTTCTTTGCAATAAGCATACTAAAAATACGATGATTTAATCTTTATTAAAGCAGATAAGAATGCATAATGCGTACATTGAAATTTAGATATAAATATCTCGTAAAACATTTTCAGAAATACTTTGTTAATTGATTACCAATTTACTGATCAAGTAAATTTCTAAACAATTTCATTTATATAACTAGAATTTTTGTCACATTATACCTGTTTTAAAAAGGCAGAATATAGATAGAAAACAAGCAAAAAGTTTTTCTACTCGTAGAAACACCAAAACTTTTACATCTTTGTTGAAAATAAAGCATAACTGAGTGAAATTTATAGAGAATGTGCTAAAAATTCAACTAATACTGAACGTATAAGAATCTAAACCTCTGCAGAAGTGCGATATTCTTTGAAGAACAGTCGTCGAAATTGATTAACACTAAAAATTCAAATTTTACTAATATCTAAAGAGCTCCTATAAATAGTGCTTGAAAAATTTTCAGTACTACAGCTGATAGATAAAAAAACTTTTTTTTTTTTCTACGATTTATACTAAAAATTGCAACAAACAAAGTATTACACTAGTTTTTGTCGGTCAGTCTTTAATATTGATAATATTGAGAAAACAGAAATTATACAACTACAGGTTATTTAATAAACTAAGGTAACTTCAACAGCATCTATTTGTGTTGTATGCCTTATTACAGTCTTTATTTTATAAGAATAAATAATAATATAGCATTTTTTATTCTTTAAATTAACATCTTATGATAAATTGATGTCTTCTGTAATATTATCTTTTTGACAATTTCTATACAACTGCAGTTATAAAAGTAAAGCGTCTTTAAATAAAATTTCAATCTCAAATCTTCAAAAACTTGTATCTTTTTCATTTTTCTTCACTTTTATAAAACTAGCGTAAAAGCCGAAATATGTTACTATCTACCAAATTTTCTGGTTAGAGGAATCTTGCTGAGAATATAGACTGTTTTCTTTCATTGGTATCGCTTCGTACTTTTGTTCGCTTCGTCTCGCCATGTTAATTACCAACATTTCTTAGTCTTCCTCTTCTGTAGGATAACCAAAACACTGTACTCAACAAACGCAGACTGTCACTGAAATTTGAGAATTAATAGAAAGCAGATTAGGCGTTGTAACAGCTAGAAGAAAATTTATCTGCACAAAGCCACGGTATATTACCACTGAAACAGCATCTGTATTTACAACAAAAATGCATTAAAATTGAGAAAGTTCTTTTTTTTTGGAAGAGAGAAAGAGTGTTTTAAAGCAAATTACTTGTTGTAATCAGTTACCATGTTAAATAGAGTAATCTGTAAAAGGTTGATTTTGGTAACACTTAGCTAAGTTTTTAAAACGTTTTTGAAAAAGTAAAACTGTCTTTAATACCAGCTATTTAGAAAACTTATAAAGCACATCGATTAACATAAATACAACGTGCAATGTTACTAGTTAAATTACAACACTGAAAAAAAGTGGTAAAAAAGTAGACTTTTCTGTATAGCAAAAATAGCATTACAGTCTGAGCAGTTGAAAGTGCTCTTTATATGCTCCTCTTCTGCTGCATAGTGTGTCAACTAAACCCAAAAATTTACTTCTAAACACAACAAATACAAATAGTCGTTGTGACTAACCAAAAGATGATAACAAAAAAAAAAATAAATAAAAAAAATAAAAAAAAAAAGTTCTTTAGTAGCACTTAATGACTGATAAAAAAATTATATTTTTTATGTGTTGTATTTAGGTTCAACCATGATTCTTCATCAACTTTACTTTAGCATCATTTTTAGAATTTAAATAGCGCTGGTGTAATAAATTATCAAAAAATTCCACTCTTTAGTATTATTTATCATTGCAATTTACCGAAAATAGTTAGTTTAATCAGCAGCACCTTAATCAGCTACCTTTACAGATGTCTAAACTGTTGAACAGTTATGGTGTTTACTTCCCGACCAGTTACATTTGTCAAGTTTGAAAACCTACAAGCTAGAAAGTTTTTAGCGGCACTCTGTTTTAGCACAAATAACCTGTAAAAAAAAATCAAGCATTTTTTTTGTGAAGTTAAAAATCAGTAAGAAAAAAATTCACCAAATATACCGTTTGTCAACTTTTCTTATCTGCCTATCAATTAGTTATAAATAGAAAAAAGCTTAAGATTTAACTATCCTGAATGCTCTAATTTTTGTAAACGTTCAGAATAAATAAAATTTTGCAAAAAATCTAGTTAAAATCTTTAGATCTTATTTGACACTATATGTTCTAAAGAGTCTACAATTTTTTTCTCACACATTTGAAACTGATAAATGTTTATTGCTGGTTTTAATTTTCAAAATAAATCTTGTATAATTTAGTTCTATCTTTGATTAACATATTAAAATTTTGAGAAAATGCTTCTCAAAAGTTTGTCTAATTCATTTTTATTTAATTTTGCAGATACTGTTTATTTTCATTTACATCTCGTTTCCTCTGAATGTAACATCTACTTAGGGTGTCTTTTTTTACCATTACTAAAAGCTAATGAAGAGTTGAGAAACGAAAGCAAAAGTTTCTCATTTTTTTTATATTGTCCTATTCTAGAAATAAAAGCCTGTAACCGGCAACTCTCAAAAGAGGACTTCTTCAATAATTTATATTTGCAAGCACAGAAAAGATATTTAGTTTTTGAGTGATTTACTTGCAGTGCCCAGAAAAATAAAGGTTTTTTTTTTAAGCAAACACTTAAATTTTAAACTTGTTAAATGCTAAGAATTTCTTATACTTTTTTAGTCAGTAATGATATCTGCTACTAAATTTTATCGAATTGTCAAAAATCCTATCAGAAGGTTCAGGAATATGTCAAAAAAGTCTGCTTTCTTTGCTCGATTTTTTTAAGAGATAAACCTAAATGGCGTGTAACTGCTACAGATATAGTCCAATAGTCGTGCTTAGCAATACTTTTTAACGGTAATTTTCTAACCTTTTTTCATCTTTTTGTCTTTAGTCATTTTTGAAGTTTACTTAAGTTCAAATAATTTACAATAGCAGTTTTATAACAAAGTTACGTAAAGCTCATTTTTTTTTTCTTTTAGACACTACGTAAGCTTAAACTGTTCATAATTGTAATGATCAAGAATGCTTTTTAATTACGTGTAAAGTAAGAAAAAAATTTTCTTAAGAGAAGAAATTTCCAACAGAAACCATTGACGATCAGATAAAAAAGTTTATTACTTAGAAAAAAAAATAATAAATAGAAACAAAAAAAGATACATTTTTTGTTGTTACTATTCCTTTTTTTTTTCTTTTTTTTACAAAATAAGTCATATACAAATAATACAATAAAAAAATATGACTGAAACTTTCTATCGAATATTACTGTACCTTGTTATAAGTTCTATACGAAGAACTGAACAGTACTAATTTATAAATCGTACATGCATCAAATAGTTTGACAATTTTCAAATCAATTAATTTTTTTTTTTT